TTCAATGATGCAAATAGAGTTTTTATTTCTTTTTTAAAAAATTATTTATCTTAGAGAGAGAGAGAAAAAGAAAGAAATGATGCACACGTGCCTGAGTGGGGGGAGGGGCAGAGAGAATCTTCAACCAGACCCCCCGGGTGAGCATGGAGCACTATTCGGGGCTTGGCCCCATGATCCATGAGACCATGACCAGAGCCAAAACCAAGAGTTGGATGCTCAACTGACTGAGCCACCCAGGTGCCTCTAGAGTTTTGATTTCTTAATGAAATATTTCCAAAAGATTTTAAAGACTACAAGTCAGTTATTTTATAGAATGTTCCTTAACCTAGGTTTGTCAGATCTTTTCTCATGTTTAGATTCAGACTGTGAACTTTCAGCCAGAATCTTTCACATGGAAAGTTGTATCATCCTCACAGTAATTAACACCCAAAGGTGCAAGATGTCCATCTGTCCTTTTTTGGTGATGTTAATCTTTACCACCTGGTCAAGGTGTTGTCTGGTTTCTCCACTATGTAGTTACCATTTTTCTCTTTATAACTAGAAACAAATCTGGGGGTAAGACACTTTAAGACCATGCAAATGTCTTGCCCCACTGCAAACTCTCCCCCCAAATTTAACGCCCATTAATGACTCTTGTCGCAAACTTTTCTTATGATGGTTTTAAAATGATGATTTTTTCTAATTCCACAACTCCTTTCAATATGTATCCTTTGTCATTTTTCTGTTCCCAAGAACCTCCCCTCCTTCTCCATGGTTTACCTAAATCTATCTGTCTGTCTGTCTATCTATCTATCTATCTATCTATCTATCATCTATCTATTATCTATCATCTATCTATCTATCATCTATCATTATCTATCTAACTATCTATCATCTATCAATCACCAGGAGACTCAATAATGGACTTCAGATCACAAATTTCTTGATAGCATTGAAATCTCTCGTTTTCCTTTGGTTGTCATTTGATTTTTACATTTTTGCCAAGCTTTCTGTTATAGTCTTTCTGTATTGTTTTTCTTTCAGGTGTGTATCATCCAAATCTATTTTTTTAAAGGTTTAACATGATCACTTTCCTTTGTTTACAGTGAAATTCTGGAAAGTATTGGAAGTATAAGACTTGACAAATAATTTTTATTTTCACACTAGCGGTTTTTAAAATAATTGTATTTGAACAAGACACTGTTCATTCTACCCAACATAACAGGAATAAAGAACTATTTTGGAAGGTCACTGTCCACCAAATGATCAGGTGTAGCAGATCACATTTTCTCAGTAATCTCCTCCCCAGGGCACAGCAATAATCTCCACTGTGGGTATCCCCACTGAGCACTTTTACCAAGGAATATTACGTTGGCTAAATTATTTTCTACTCATGTTATGTGGCTGAAGGACTACTATACAATAAATTGAGTTGTTATTTATCACAAAGTTAATTAATTATTGTGGATAAAAATATTTTATATTTCCAAGGATGAAAGATTTTGAAAAACATTCAATACTACTCTGTGTTTTTTCCTATCTTTTAAGTAAAAGCTTAATTAGTGACTTTGAGAAGGAAATGCGAAGTAATCAAGCACATTATGCTTTCTGAAGGTCTAGCTTTTTTGTGGTAAAAATGCTTCCACCATAAGGTTTATTATGTTTCTCGCATTATTCAGTTCCCGGAACAATGTATTTACTGAAAATGTAACATGCTGCTGTGATTTGCCAGTATAAATGATGCCACTCTAAAGTTTTAAAAACATGTTTCCATGCATGAAATAGAAACCTCAAACCCAAGAAAACATAAGCCCTCACATTAAAATATTTTGTATCTTCTCTTCTAATTTTATAAAAAACATTTTTTAATGTTTTAAAATGTTTAATGTTCAATTTTAACTGAACGTTTTTTGATTGAGCAAAAGTGTATCTGGAATGTTAGCTACAGAGGGCTTCTCCTTGCCTTCTCTCCGATTAATGTCTCTGTCTGACTCTCCTCTGTTTTCTTGAGTTATGGGTTGACCAGGTAAAAATGGAGAGATGTGAAGAATAAAAAATAATTCCCCCTATTTTTTTCTAATACCCTAGTTCTAACATCATTACACTAATCCCAAGAATATTTTTAGTAAGTTGGAAAGATTCAAAATTGTGAATTGCTTTTGTAGCAAGTAAAAGTTACATATTCCAGGGTGGAATTTAAGATAAATTCCTTGAGTTTTGATATATAACTAAATCAGATCTTGTCATGAGTTGTGTTCCTCACTTGTTCATATGTGTCTCCTGAGTGTCCATTATGTGCCAGTCCTGGTATTATAATCGAGATTGGGTGGTGAACAGATCATGATTCCTGCCTTGTGGAGCTAGGAGGAGGGGATAGACAATGAACAATAAATATAACAATTGGAAAAACGATATGGTATCTTAGAAGATTAAAAGCACTCTGGAAAAAAATAGACTAAGGAAGACACAATGGGGAGGGGTAAAATACAATCTTTTTTTAAATTTTTTTTTAAATTTTATTTTATTATGTTATGTTAATCACCATACATTATATCATTAGTTTTTGATGCAGTGTTCCATGGTTCCTTGTTTGCGTATAACACCCAGTGCTCCACACAGAACGTGCCCTCTTTAATACCCATCACCAGGCTAACCCACCCATCCACCCCCTCCTCTCTAGAACCCTCAGTTTGTTTCTCAGAGTCCATAGTCTTTCATGGTTCGTCTCCCCCTCTGATTCCCCCCCTTCATTTTTCCCTTCCTAGTATCTTCTTTTTTTTTTTTTAACATATAATGTATTATTTGTTTCAGAGGTACAGGTCTGTGATTCAACACTCTTACACAATTCACAGCGCTCACCATAGCACATACCCTCCCCAGTGTCTATCACCCAGCCACCCCATCCCTCTCACCACCCCCAACCCCAGCAACCCTCAGTTTGTTTCCTGAGATTAAGAATTCCTCATATCAGCGAGATCAGATGATACATGTCTTTCTCTGATTGACTTATTTAGCTCAACATAATACCCTCTAGTTCCATCCATGTCGTTGCAAATGGCAAGATTTTGGGTTTTTTTGATGGCTGGGATATAATACAATCTTAAATAGAACAGAGCAGGCCTCATTCAGGAGGTGATCTTTGATCAAAAAGTTGAATTAAGTGAGGGAGTCCACGTTCTAGGCAGAGCCTTAAGATGGGAGTGTGTCCTGTTGTGTTCACAGAGCACATGGAGTGTGTTTCTCTGTTCATAAAAGTATGTGACTGGAGGCAGAGTGGCAAGAGGGAGTAGAGAAGAAAATGAAGCGAGAGAAATAAAAAGAGGAGCCAAAGCATGCATTGCCTTGCAGGCCCTGATTAGGAATTTGCTTTTTACTCTGGATAAAATGAGGAACCACTGGCTTTTTCCTTCTCTGGAGAAAATGGAGAGCCGTTGGAAGATTTTGAACAGAAGAATGATATAATTTGACATCTACTTTAAAAGGCTCAATCTGGCTCCTGGGTTTAGAATAGACTCCTGAGGGCCAAAGGTAGCTCCTGTAAGAGCAGTTAGGATGTTATCACAGCAAAGCAGGTGAGAGCTGAGGGTGGCTCCCACCAGGGAAAGAGCAATGGAGACTGTGAGTAGTCAGGTACTGTATATACTTTGAAGATGGGACTGGAACTTTTCCTAGTATGTTGCATGTAGGTTTGACAGAGGTGAGGAGTCAAGGATGACTCCAGGGTTTTGACCTGAGCTCCTGGAAGTCCAGAGATGCCATCAGTTGAGAGGATAGAGGCTATGAATGGAGGTTTGGGGGGATGATCAGAAGTATAGCATTGAACATGTTCAACTTGAGATAGCTATAAGACATCCAATCTGAGATGTCCAGTAGGCAGTGGGACAAATGCATCTGAAATTCAGGAAGGAGGTTTGGAATGGAAATTTATAATTTTGGGAGGCATTAGCATATAAATAGTACTTAATACCATGAGGCCAAATGATATAACCAAAGAAGTAAGTGTAGATACAGTCTAGAAAAAGACACAAGTCTGATCCTCGAGACACTCCGACATGAAGATATTGGAGAAGAGGAAGAACTGACAAAAGAGGAACACTACACCAAAACAAAACAAATGATGTAATATATGGTGATTAACATAACAATAAAAAATTAAAAAAAAAAGAGGAACAGGAGAAATGATCATTCTCACATTCATTTGAAATTTGCTCCCTTAAATTGAAGATGATAGGGAAAAAGTTAAGAGAGGAAAGGTCATTAGAGAATTGAAACATGGGGCAGATTGCATGTAAAAGGGACACTCTTCTCTAAAGGGGCTGAGGAAGGACATGACTGTGGATAGGAAATTATCTTTCTAAGAATGTGTTAGATTCAAAACTTGACTCCTTTTTATATGTCAGATGGTACATATACAGACTGACTTAGAAAGCACCACTGAGCAATTACCTAATGCAAATTGCAGTATTTTGTTTATGGAGTCATATGTATTCAATATATTTATATGTAGAACTTCTAGCAGATTCTCAACAAATAACGTGTCGAACTCTTAATGTATCACTTTTGTTCTTTGTTGAGAATGTTCATATTATGTTATAACTGTTTTCTTTGCATACAGAGGACACATAAAAACTTTATTCAATCCTTTTTCTTACATACATACCTATTAAATCAGATGCCAGTTTGTTAAGACATGTCACTTATACTTTATAATTCTCAGAACTTTGGCAGGTAGACACAGTGGGTGTGAACTGTCTATTTCTCTTAACTCTGGCTGGTTGGGAATTGTAGTCAATAAGACAAGCATTAAAAATATGAATACCTTCAAATATGAGCTAGATTTTATTACTTGGATCTAAGTAATCTCCATGGAAAGCTAGAGTTCAGTCTACATTAATTTGGAAATGCCCTACATTCTTGGAGATCATTGCATTGAAAGTCTTCAATGTTTCCTCTCTCCAAGGAGTAGAGCATAACTAACAGATCTGACTCTTCCTTCAGAAGGAGAGAGCGCCTGTGCTTACCAGGATAGGAGGAGATGGCATTGATGTGGGTGGTCCTGATGACGCCCACCCGGGTCCCGCGGTTGTTTTTCATACACATGCAGATACATATGGCAATTCCAGCTATGACCCCCATGATGAATACAATTCCAAACACTATGCCAGCAATTGCTGTACCCCTAAAAAAGGAAAACAAAAGTACATTTATTGAAAAAGCTCATGAGCCTTTCAAATACACATCCGTGACTATATGACAAATGCCCTTTGGCGAACCCCCTAAGGATAATGTTAAAAAAAAAAAAAGATAATTCCCTGAATCAGTCAAGTAAATCGTTTTCTGTATTTCAATAGATAAGAAAAAGTTATAAGCTCTCAGGGAATCCTCTTCCAGTACAGTAAACCTATCATTCAGATTCTGATCTTAGAAATCCATGTATTTATACAAAACACAATTATTCAGATACGCTTTCTAAAATAATAATTAAAAAAACCATACTGCTGTTAACTTGAACAGCAAAGAATTTATTGTCTGTGAGTACACATTAACTGAAAACAACTTGATAAATGTCAAAATAGTAAATAAAATTTAACATTTATCTTTCTTAAAACTCTTCACAAAGTAGAACTGGAATTTTTTTTTTCTTAACAGAACAGAGAAAAACCAAATTTTTTTAAAAAATTATTCAGAAAACAGTTATGACAAATGGTATTCTCATTAAATTCAGGAGCAATGCAAGCAAAACCTCTATTCTGTTAATGTTATGTTTTTCTCCAGAACGTTTTATCTCTCACAACAAAATCATAGAAAGAAAAAATACTGCATGCAAGAGTCGACATTATCATTATATGTAGATAATATGATTTGTAGGAGTCTACATTTGTTCACATTTTGGAAAGTAATGGAGAAATCTTTGTGAAAAGATGTAGATTTTCAACCAGCAGTATCATTTCTAGCAGTGCTTTCTGAGGAAAGACAGCACATGTGGGCACAAATAATGTAATAAGAATGTTTGCCAATATATTGTTGCTGAAAGCAAGATATCAGAAACACCCTAATATCCAAATGACAAAAAAAGAAAAAAGGTAATGATACATCAGAGAATGAATCTTATACAGTGATTGAAAAGGGTGAAGAGGTCCATGTCCTTAAAAGGATCCTCCCTTAAAAGGATCCTCCAATTTCACGTATGAGCCAGCGTGACACTTTGCTGGAGCCTAGGGTTTTACCTATAAGGGTATGAATTTCCATAAGATCTGGTGCTTTTAGCTCAGAGACTGAGTCTCATTCTGCTGTGACAGTGGGGCCATTCAGAAGAAGTCTTCAGTAACAACATTTTTGTGGTTTAAAAGCATGATTTCTAGGGATGCCTGGGTGGCTCAGTCGTTAAGCGTCTGCCTTTGGCTCAGGTCATGATCGCAGGGTCCTGGGATCGAGCCCTGCATCCGGCTCCCTGCTCGGCAGGAAGCCTGCTTTTCCTTCTCCCACTCCCCCCACTTGTGTTCCCTCTCTCACTGTATCTCTCTCTGCCAAATAAATAAATAAAATCTTTAAAAAAAAAATAAAAGCATGATTTCTAAAGCCAGACTGCCTAGGTTCCAACTGTTCTTTGGGCAAGTTGCTGAACACCTCTCACCCCCCCTAATTTTCTTATTAATTAAATGAAGGTCAGCTTGATGCTTACCTGACTCTCCTCTCAAATTTCATATCATGAAATATCTGTACCCCTGGACTCATTTGTCAGATAAATAATTTCTTATTTTTGTGCCATATACATATCTATCCCACACTTTTCTAAGACAGGTCTGTAATTCTCATTCCAAACCCTTGGGGCCAGATCTATCTCATAAATCAGAAACATGTAACATATGACCTCACTGATATGAGGAATTATTAATCTCAGGAAACAAACTGAGGGTTGCTGGAGTGGTGGGGGGTGGGAGGGATGGGTGGCTGGGTGATAGACACTGGGGAGGGTATGTGCTATGGTGAGCGCTGTGAATTGTGTAAGACTGTTGAATCACAGACCTGTATCTCTGAAACAAATAATACATTATATGTTAAAAAAAAAAAAGAAGAAGATAACAAGAAGGGAAGAATGAAGGAGGGGAAATCGGAGGGGGAGACAAACCATGAAAGACTATGGACTCTGAGAAACAAACTGAGGGTTCTAGAGGGGAGGGGGTGGGGGGATGGGTTAGCCTGGTGATGGGTATTAAAGAGGGCACGTTCTGCATGGAGCACTGGGTGTTATGCACAAACAATGAATCATGGAACACTACATCAAAAACTAATGATGTAATGTATGGTGATTAACATAACATAATTAAAAAAAAGAGAGATGTATCAAAGGAGATAATTTGAAATAAGTAAACAAAAAGTAATCTGGAACCCTTTTTATTGTAATTTTGAAGTCCAAATAAGATTGATTTGGAGGGCTTAATTTATGTTCCAGAAATAATCAATGGCCCAATTATTCAGGCATAGAGTTTCCAAAGTAAGTGTTATGGAAGCTGTTAAGATTTCAAATTGGGACATATTTATATTCATTAATTCATTTTTTAAATAGAGGAAAGTAGAAAATTAGTCACATTTTGTTTTCCTGTTGGCAGCTCCAGCAAAAGTGCCTGCTTGTGAGGTCAGTAATTAGGTTGCAACTAATGTGTTAAATGAGGTTTCTGATTAAATCATGATTTTGGTGTCCTTGATCTTTTGATACCCATTAGCAACTGTAAATTAGTTATTAAAGACATGGCAAGTATAACATTTATGGAATTATTTACTCCATTATTAATTAAAAGAAACAATAAACAGTAACCTTCTGGCATATAAATAATTCGGTTTTGTCAACTGTTGGAAAGAGAGAATCTATTAACTTGAGAAATTTGGCATCATAAACATCTTGAAAAAATGTAGGGAATGTATTTTTCTTTGAAAGAATGGACTGCAGAGCATATATATTTTCCTTTTTAAATTTTTTTTTTTGAAATATGTACAGGTTCACAGACAGTTATAAAAGAAGTACAGAGAGGGCCTGTGTACCCTCCACCCAGCACTCCTCAGTGGTTACATCTTAGGTGACTAGAGTACAACATTAAAATCAGGAAATTGACATTAGTGTAAAGTGTGTGTATTGTTCTGTGTCATTTGAACACATGCAGAGATCATGGAATCACTATGGCAAGCAAGGTACAAAACTACTCCATCATCAGAAAGATTTCCCTTGTGCTACTCCTTTATGGTCACACCCACCACCCTCCTCCCCACCATTAATAACTGCTCAAATCACTACTCTGTTCTCCACTTTTGTAATTTTGTCATTTTAAGAGTGTCATTCAATTGGAATCATGTAGTATGTGACCTTTTGAGGTGGACTTTTTTTTTACTCAGCACAATGCCCTTGGAATCTATCCTAGCTTTTGTGCATACTAATACATTCTTTTTTTATTATTAAATAATATTTCATGATATGGAGATAGCATATTTTGTTAACCCATGACCTATTTGCAGGACATTTTGGTTATTTCCAGTTTTGGCTTTTGCAGATTAAGCTGCCATGCACAATCATATTCAGGTTTTGTGTGAACATATGTATTCATTTCTCTGGGATAAATGCCCAAAAGTGGGATTGCTGGGTTATTTGATAAGAATATGTTCAGTTTTTAAAAATACTGCCAAAGTATTTTCCAGAATGGTTGTACTATTTTATATTCCCACCAGTAGAGTATGAGACATCCAGTTTCTCTCCATCCTTGCCAGCATTTGGTGTTGTCATTATTTTTAATTTTAGCTATTTCAACGGGTGTGTAGTGATATCTCATTGTGATCTTAACATACATTTCCCTCATGGCCAGGGAGGGTGAACATCTTTTCATGGACTTAGTTGCCATTTTTGTATCTTCTTCAGTGAAATGTCCCTTCATGCCTTTTATTCATGTTCTAATTGGATTGTTTGTGTTTTTACTATTGAATTTTTGAGAGTTCTTTATAAACTCGAGATAGAAGTCCTTTATGAGATACATTGTTTGCAAACATTTTCTCAGTCTGTAGTTTGTCTTTTCATCCTCTTAATGGAATCTTTTGCAGAGAAAAATGTTTTTAAATTTTAATAAAGTCCAATTTTTCGATTTTTTCTACTATGGACTGTGCTTTTGGTGTCATGCCTACAAATTCTTCACCAAGCCTTAAGTTCTGAAGACTTCTCCTATGTTTCCTTCTAAAAGATTTATTAGTTTTATGTTTGATATTTAAACCTATGATCCACTTTGGTTTAATTTTGGGATAAGGTGCCAGTTTGAGTTTGAGGTTGAGTTTTTTGCCTATGGATATCCAACTGCTCCAGTACTATTTATTGAAAACACTATCCTTCCTCGACTGCATTGCTTTTGCACCTTCATAAAAAATTAGTTGGTTATGCTTATTTGGGAGTATTTTGGGGTTTTGTATATTCTCCTGTTGTTGAAGAAGGTATCTGAGAAATGTTGATTAGATTCAGTTGGTTGTTCAGTTCTTCTGTATCCTTGTTGATTTTCTGTCCAGTTGTTCCCTAATTGATGTGGGAGGGATGTTGGAGTCTCCAACTATAATGGAAGATTTGTCTATTTCTCCTTTCATTCCCATCAGTTTTGCTCCACATGTCTTGTAGTTCTTCTGTTCTGTGTGCGCTCCCCACTCGACCTTTGCTGGTAGATGTAGTGTGGGGCTGTATTTTTTTTTCCCTTCAGTGTTTGGCCGTAGTCAAATTGTTATTGTCTAAAAGTTTTCTGTCTTGCTAGGCTGCCTCTTCCTGGGTGCTGCCGCTAGAGAGATTAGGCTGTTGTTGGGGCTTTTATTGTAAGTGCCCATTGGTGTTTCTAGGGTGCCAGTTACCTCCAAGTCTGGGATTATTGAGGCAAAAAGAAAACCCAGGGAACTCACTCTTGTGTCCTTCGGGCCATGAGATCCTAGCTGATCAATCCTCTTCACCTTTTAGACTTTTCTGGTTTGTTTTATATATAACGTCTAGGGTTCTAAAGTTGCACTTAGAGGGAAGAATAGGAAAAAGTATGTCTACTCTGATAATGTATTTTTGAAAAATAAAATACTGTGGAAAAGGTATTGTTTAAAGTTGTGAAGTGATTTTTTTTTAAAGATTTATTTATTTTAGAGAGAGAGAGAGAATGTGGTAGGGGAGCAGAGGGA